AGAGAGAGAGAGAGAGAGAGAGAGAGAGAGAGAGAGAGAGAGAGAGAGAGAGAGAGAGAGAGAGAGAAAAAGGATTGACTGATCATCATAACACTACGCATCTCAATCGTTTTTAAAATGTGCCATAATCGTGTTATTTATCAAATGAGTTTCGTTTGTAATGCAAAATATCAAGAGCGTATTAAGAAGGTTCTTCTTAGTTCTTTCCTCTTGAAATTATCCATGCACGGTTGTCAGATGTATACGTATGTGTGATCGTCTGGTTAAGTCTAATAGTTTTTACAGTGTGTTTCTTCTTTCCGCCATTAAGATAAGAATAACGTCTGCATATTTTTCAATTCACTATGTAGATAACTATCAAAGCGTACATTATGAACAAGTAATAAGCACATTAATACATTGTGCAGCTAGATAATTGTCTAAGATTAAACACAAAAAGTAGCAAGGTCTAAAACTTATTTACATTGTGGACCATGTGAAGTACATGTTATTATTTTACATAGTCAAGCCGCCCAAAATACCGGCATCCGTAGCGCCAACAAAAGTACACGCTACACTCAGTCCTTTATAAATTTTGGCATTGTCTATACTAGTGGCTCTTAATCTTTTTTAAGTGATAGACGCTTTTGAGAATCTGGTGAAAACTACGGACCCCTCCACAGAAAAATGCACATAAGCACATAAATACAAAATTTTTATGCGCATGGTTCACGGACCCCCTGAAGCCTATCCGCGGACCCCAAAAGGTTAAAGAACCCCTGGTCTACACAGTCTTCAAATTTAGCCGGGCGTCCGACGCCCGATACGTGTAGAAATCTCGGCGGGCATGTAAACATTGCAAACTCACTTTCCCGACGAGCTCCTGCTTTAAAAACGCATAAACTATAGTACAACTGACCAGGTTTTTAATTTAAAATCACAAAATGTTAACACCGGAAACGAACCCGTATTGTCGTCCTCTAATACGATGTCAGCAGTTTATGTGCGTGGCGTGTGCGGTGGTTCCTGCCTCGTATGCTTCTGTCTGTAGTCAATATAGAGTGTGTCATTCATAAGCGCCGAAGCCACAAAACTCATAGATCCACTTAAAATGAGGACTGATCTCATGTTGCCAGTGTAGTCATACAGAACGCCTACAGGAACACAAAAGCCAGTAATGGGTTAGTGCAGAAGTCGTACCAGCGTCAGATTTTAGAAAAGCATTTACACTCGGGAATTTATCTCTACTTAAAGAAGGCGTAGAATCGCAGTGGTAGTGGCCTGCTAACTTGAAGCAGCCTACCTTAATTAGTCTGTATCAGAGGTTCTAAATGTGCCAATCTCTGCATATACGGTCAGACATAATTAGGAACGCTAATGGAACTGACAGATCTATGACACCAGTGCCGTTATTTCGACACACTTACCAGCGGATACTGGCCCAGTGAATGCTCCTACGCCACATAGGAGCGAGTAGATTGGCTGGGCGATTTGTAGATGCGCAACCCCGATCAGGTCTATTAGTATCGTTGTATTCAAACTTGATTTGATCCCTATGCAACATCCGTCCAGCACACAGAAAAGTGCGAACATCCACAGCTCCCTTGCAAGCAGAAACAAGAGGTAAAAATGTGCACCTGCCAGCATTGCGAGCCCAAAGACCAGCTGGCGTGGGAACCACTGCCTGTCACAGTGTCACCTATGGCTGCGACAAGGAACGTGATGAGTGTCTGGCTTACGTGGAACATGCTCTGTATCTGGGCAGCGCGCGTGCTGCTAAAGCCAAATGACGTGACGTATAGAACGAAGAACGTGGCAATTATATTCAGACTGAACGCGTTCACGATGCTACTCAGGCAGTCAACTACGTATTTGATCACGTTGACAACGCGCGCAAACCTGTGCTGCTGCGACGACTCTTCAGCTCTTCTTTTGCAGCCTTTGGTATGTCGCGGAAAAGCGCGCCAGCTGCTACTGTTTGTAGATAGATGCCACCTGGAATGATGAGTGTGCCATGCAAATACAATCCATAGAAAACCAAAAATTAAAGACGATAATAAGAAAAGATGGGATGCTAAGACACAATCCGTATAGTGGCTCAGTGTGATGTCTGTACCAGTGTATAGCCCGCACTTGGCAAATCAACATTGGGAATTATATGTCTCCAGTTGGTCTGCTAATATGGTGATACAAACTGGACTGCTCATTGATTTTGCTGGCCATGAAACAGATGATTTTCGAAGATGTGTTTGTGGCAATTAACATGAGTTATTGGCATCAATTCGCATGAGGGAACCCCGAATATATCAAATCATGTAATGTTAATGTTCATCTTATATTAAAAGGTTGGTAAAAAGACAACAAAATCCGTGTAAGGGTGTGACAGATATTATTTCAACTTCAAGAACCAAAGCATGCCTTCTCAAATAAAAGTTTACCTGGTCAGGTAGCCTGCCCACTAGATGTTCATGTTTCCTTCTTAAAACGCTCTTGAAAATATGATTCTTTATCAAACCGCGTGTGATATAACATATAATTCATTAGTCCAGGCTGAGAACACCAACAAACATTCATCAATGTGTATAGAACTGAATTGTAAAATATTTCAAGTATATATATACGAGACAAATATATATAAAACTAGAGCACTCGGAGAGCGCAGACCTCCGCCAAGGCAGCTCAATTCTCTCACTGTGAAAAATTTTATTAATTAATTAGCCCATTTCTGACCTATCATGAAAATTTTATGACAATCCATCCATAACTTTTTCAGTTAGGCTGTACACAAACAAATCCACAAACCAACAAACACACGCCGAACAAACACACGCTGGTGAAAACATAACCTCATGCCAACCCCTTGGCGGAGGTAATAGCTTAGGCTTTGCGACGATGATGATGGTGACCGAAATTATAAATTATTTTACGACACCAGGTGAGAATTGTACAGCTTTTATATCTAAAATATTTATTTTTATTCACTAATGTAATATATATATATGTGAATTTGGTTTGTTCCGTAAAGTTCCGTTTGATCAACACTTAACATACAAGTTACTCTAACAATCACCAGATGGCGCGCGAACACAGGGAGTTTCAAAGATGTCGTCAGTCGCAGAGAGTGATACATCGTTGTGGCTTCATAACAAACTTGGTTCTACCGATGACCTGTGGTCTGCGCAAACTATATGTTCTCAACTAAGACAGGAAATATTAAGGAATGCTCACAGTTGTTTTCAAGATTTGCAGTCGCACGTAAAACTAAAATTCCTGCTATCGTTTTTACATCTTCCGAGACGGCACATCGAACAGGTATATCTATCAACACAACACTAACAGTACCATCATATTTAATGCGTACATTAATATACGGTTATTACTGGGTGTGTATTAAAACAGCAAAACGCTCCTATCGATACTCACGTTATTTCGCGGCGTACATACCTACCGGCTACTGATGGTTATGTGGCTACACCGTATAAACACATTGTTTAGGCTCGCTTAATTTTTTATTTTTTTTATTTATTTATTTAGGCAATTATCCATCATATACAATACATAGCATACTTTTACAATAAAATTCTGAATTCATAAAATCGGATAACTACCAAGGATATATACACAAAAAGCATACTACTAGCACATTTATTTACATTGTGGCAGGGGTCGAAATTAGCGGTATCCCGATATCCGCAGGATAGTAGATTCTTGTGTTGGATACCAGATTTGGATGCCTGGTATCCCGCCGAGATAGTAAAAAAAAATCGTCAAAATCAGGATAGTGGTTTTTGATTTATCAACTTTATACGGCAGCGCATCTGAGTGAGTGCGCACGATCTGAGCGGGCTCAGGCACCCTTACTATGCCACACTAGCGTTATACAGCAGGCATAGCATATTTGTAAGCGTGGCCGATGTTGATCATAAATGTGATGTGTATACATTGTGTATCAAGCGAACCAGACAATGCGTTGAGACAATACGTCTGCAGTGTACTTGTCTGTGCATATCTGTGAATCTGTTTTCATGTTTTTATATAATAATTACATTACATATTAATAATTTTTAAATGCTATTATTGCATATTTCAAGATTTTGGATACCTACATTGTTGAAATTACTATCCAAAAAATGGGATACCAGATTTCAATACCTGGTATCCCGAATGGATACCATAATAAAAATCTAATTTCAACCCCTGTTGTGGTCCTTGTTTTGCTATGCCTTGAATCTAACAATTACACTACTATCCGCACTAACTATTGAAATATACAAATTTGTAGTTTTAACCGGTCATACAATGGTACATTCTCATAAGATGATACAAACTTTTCTTATGCATAATTTCAACCGAATTCTTTTAGCAAAAATCATACTCCTCTGTCTCTAATGTTTCTACCTTTTCCATCAGACATTTCTTAACACTATACTTAAAACTGGAATAAACAGAATTTGTCCTAACTTGCTCTAGTAGAGAGTTCCAAGCTTCAATTGCAGTATAAGTAAAAGAGTTTTTCCTTCTGCTTCCCACCCTCGGTTTAAAAATAGACATCTCACCTTCCCTTGTATTGAAACTATGGACTTCTGACGTTAACACTTACTGTTAGTACAGTCACACCACCAAATGAGTATAAATCGCAAATTATTAATTTAGCATCATAAAAACATGCGATGTGCATTCACAATATATAAATTTATGCAATTTTTTCAAATTCTTTTTCAGTGGAAAAGTGAACTTGATGAGATTGTAGAGATGGCTGTAGGCGATTCAGACCAATGGGTATCAGTTCTCGGAGAACTACTGAAAACCTTTGCCTCGACTGGGACTGTAAACCTAGATATTGAGGAAAATTCTCACCTGTTCGCTGAAGTCACTACTGAACTGAAGAAACTGTGTATGCCAGCTTTCTCTTTCCTCATATTCTTACAGTGCTATTTAGATGTATTGGTTCTGGAGACATGTTTTTATTTACCTTGTGATACAGTATACAGTAACACATATATACAGTATATTTGGCAATGAAGCAAAATCATCAATATAAAAGCGAGGTATAAATATGAACTTAATTTCGATATAAGTGTGTAATAATTAATTAATATATTTATTCTTTATCTTTAGTTGTTTGTTAGTATCTAGATTTAGTAACATTTTTCAAAATGGTCTGTTTGGATTTCATACAGAATTTAATGCTAACATATGCATGCAAATTTGAATATAACTGTAACTGTCATATAAGGTTCTGTAAAGCTTGCATATATATATTACATATATATATATATATATATATTGATTTATACATGACCCTTTCATAAATTACATGGTTGTACAGAAATCACGACAGCGAAAATACGGAAGGCCCCCCCATCCGCATTTTCAGCATGTTACCCAAATGTACCGATAATAGCGACAAAAAAATAATGCGCGCCCCCGAACGAGCGTCGTTTTTCTCGTTCTAGGTAAGCGGTCGAGCGACTCGGGCATGCTGCCGCTCGAGTGCCTCGTCCTCAACAAGACCGCCCTGACCGCCGCCGTCGGTCAGCTGCCGCAGACCGACAAGCACTTTGCGCTGAAGAGGAAGCCCAAGTCGGCGGCGCTGCGGGCCGAGCTGCTGCAAAAGTCGTCTGAGGCGTTAACGAGCACAAAGAAGAACGCGCCGAGCACGGTGCCGATACGCTCGCGCTCCTCCCTCACGAAGAAACTAGACACGAGCGGTGAGCAACAAGGGGCTGGAGGTAGAGAAGGGAAAGGGAAGGAGTAAGGGAGAGAAGGGAAAGGAGAAAGGGGGAGAGGGAAGAAGAAAGGGAGAGGGGAAAGGGATGGATAGAGAGAAAGGGAAGGAGGAAGGGGAGGGGGAGAGGGATGGATAGAGAGAAAGGGAGAGAGGAAGAGCACGGCGAGCATGGTGCAAATCCGCTCGCGTTCCTTCCTCATGAAGAAACTGGACATGAGCAGTATGAACGAGGAACGTGGAAAGAGGGCGGTAGAGGAGGGAAAGGGAAGCAGAAACAGAGATGGAGAAGAAAGAGAGGTGCTGGTAGAGGAGGGAAAGGGAAGCAGAGAGAGGGAGAAAAAGAGAGGCGATATTGTCTTTTTGAACTTGATAGATCAATGTAGATGGCAGCACAGTGCCATGCTGTTAAGAGTTTGTGCTAGTCACATTGGTGTGTAACTTCACCGCATTATTTCAGCTCCACTGAAGGGCCTTCCAAGTCGAGTACCAATAGGTGGGTTCCGGTCTGGCACGCAGCTGAGCACAGTGGGAAGGTCGTCAATTGGGGGTGTCTCGGCAGCTGGAAGGAAGGAGGGAGGAATCAAGGTAGTTTAATCACCTGAAATTAGCCTCGAATGTGCAGTGCAGTGTTGTTGTGGCAGTTTGTGTTAAATTGTAAAGGATTGGTTGTTGCAACATGCAGTAGCTCTGATTGTCCATATGATCACAGCACTTCGTCTTTCCATGTATCTAGGCTATGAATACAGCAATACCTTGATCACTCAATTGAAACAGGGGCTGAAAATAGTGGTTTTTGCTCGCAGGTCCGGGACTTTTCAGCAATAATTTTGGAATGTCCGATGAAAGATTTGGAAGGTCCAAATATGTAATGTTTGTTTGGCTAATAGATCGTTTGGTAACAGTGGGTCCGTTTTCTGATATAAAACTAAACTTAAACAAACTCATGTTTGCCCTTGTTTGATACAATACATGCGTTGTGTGCAGGCATTCCAAGTTACTTGCATGAGCAACGTGCCAACGAGTTACTTCTGGTATGATGAAACTGCACGCGCATCTGCCTTAACTTCCGTTATAAACAACCATGCTACTAACGTGGCAGCATACGCTGTCAGTACGTTTAATTTCGATCAGATTTTCGGTAAATTTGACTTATTCTTGGTATGTTTCATTGTGAATATTAAATATGATACTAGATGTCGACAGTGACCAAAAATCGATGTACTTTCGCTTTATTTCTTCACAATCTGCAATGGTTTAAGGATGTTTTATTTGATGAAAGTGGAGTACTGTAAATTATTGTTAGGTCCGATGGACTTTCTGCTTGGAAATTGCGAAGGTCCTAGCATGAAATCGGGAGGTCCCGGACCTCTGACTTGCCCTATTTTCAGCCCCTGTGAAAGCTTGTTAGATGTGCCTGAATTTAGCACTTATGCTGTATGTGTGACACATGTAGTATTAGTGTACTGTATAAGCCGTATTTTTCGTCTACAGACATTTTCGCAAATTCAGACTTGACAGACATCTTCGCGAGTGGTTAATTTAGCGGTCGGTGAATTATGAACTATTCGGTATTATTCGTTATGCATTATTCGCGTGTTGTTATTTTTGCGGTTGGGAACGCGTTCAAGAAATTCGTAAAAATTAAACCACCGTGAAATATACAGCTTATACAGTAATTTGGCCTGTAGTAGAATTTATGCAAATTTTAATGTAGATATATTGCTGTTGCGTTATACATTTGTTAAATCGACCTCAAGGTGATAAACCTGTCCAACTGTTTAAATTTGGCACAGTCCTGAACGGTTCTAACATTTTCTCGTGTAATAATATTTGAATGTACTTGTAACTTGTAGCTGCTAGACATCACTGAGCAACCTCTAGGTGGTCGTCACGCGAAGAAACGGCGTGTCCAAGGTAATACTTAACTACTAGGATATGTTGTATCTAGAAGTATCGTGTCAGTGACCCAAGAATCTCAATTCCTACTTGGTTTCTACACGAGGATTGTCACATTTGTTTTCTACATTCTTTGACGTGTAAGTCATTCACGAGAGTATCTCGAATTTAAACGGCGGTGTATAGTATCCATCATTTACTTGTTGGCGTTAGCAAGAAATCAGTGCGTTCATGTCAAAGGTAATTCATGTTACGTAGGTGCCCGTGTGGTGAAGTTGAAACAGTTGTATCTTAGACTAGCGGGCCTGGTCGTACCTAACAGTTGTAATTTTTTTACAGAGGAGACGAAGCCGCCGCCGCCTAAGGAAGAAGATACGTCACAGACGGCAACGCCAGACTACGCAGTCGGCCTAATACCCCCTGCTAGCATTCCACAGGTAGCTTCGCATTTACTCCTACATGTATGTTGTGTGCTATTTCATCTATGTGCAGTCTTCCATGCGTACTTGTAGTGTATGGCTTCCGTGCTACAAGCATATTAGTAGGTAATCGTAAGGCCAATTTTGTAATACCCACACAGTACTTGCCGTACAGTAGCTGTTTTTACTTTTATGCATCTGGAAACTTGTTTGTATCTGCCTCTTTAAATCTACCTGCATTCAATAATAATTATCTAAACAATCTTAGTTTGCATGTGAATGATGAGCACTGTGAGTGTGACAGCTGCCGTGCATTTAACAGTATTTTCGTATATCTATCACACTCCATAGAAACCTCTTGAGCTGGTCTCGGTATCTGCATCTACAGCTGTGTCATCTGCTACTGTCCCCGAGTACGTGCCCAGTCGAACTGCCATCATCACAACCAGCCAACAAGTGTCAGGTGAATTTAACTCTACACGTTGAAAGGGACCACATACCAGTAGGCTCCTGACTGCTTTGCTTGGGCATTCTCAACGATACTTTTACTGTGATGTGCAGCGTTCGATCGATATATATATTTGTATTTTGATGATGCATCGTTGTTAGTTCGTACTGGCCACATGACACTGCTGGTTATTGACCAAGATGATATCAGATGGCTGAGAATGAAATTGTATGAAGGTTTGATTTTGCATGTATCTGTTTATGATGTCATATCAAGAGTTTGAGAACACAAAGGCTATTTGGCTAAGAAATTTCTCCCACACATCCCAAATAAACCAAATCTTCTAGTGTTTACTTTCTAGAACGATAACCCTTTAACATGTCTTTCACCATTTGCTTTTGTGTCCCTGTCGCTACGGTTGCGCTCTCACGGGCGAGTTGACAATGTTGCCATGCATTAGTTTCGGTCTAACTAAGGCTGCCACTTGTTTTGGCGCGCAGCTCTGCCATCGACGGCTCAGGCGCGCGAGAACCTGCAGCAGGTGCTCAGCAACCAGAGTCAGAACTCGTTCGTGGCGACCATCGGTCCGTCGGCCAACAGTATTCGCAGCCTCGTGCAGCAGCACACGTCGCGTGCCACTACGCCGCAGCCGCCGGTGACACAGCAGGTAAGTGCACGCTGCTGAGGTGCACACGGGTGGTTTTGGGTTGAGAGGCGTGTGGCGCGGTCAGCGATAGCATGCGTGGGAGCGCGTGTTGTGTTACGGCGATGGCAATGTGGTGGGTTGGGGTGCGGAGGCACTGTGGAGATAGAGATTGGGTGGGTGAGTGTGTGGGAGGATGTGTGCAGGTAGAACTGGCATGTGGGAGAGCATGGTGGCGATGTGGTGGGGGTGCGGAGCGGTTGTGGTGATTGGGGATGGGTGAGTGTATGGTTGTGGGGGATGGGTGAGTGTATGGTTGTGGGGGATGGGTGAGTGTATGGTTGTGGGGGATGGACGGGGTGTGGTTGGAAGTATGATTGCGTTATGGCAGTGGCAATGGGGTAGGTGCATGTTCGTGATGTCCGCAGCTTGGTGCTTCTATCGTGTATTGCCGAGAGTGTGACTGTGGGTCATCTGCTTTCAGGTGAGGGTGATTCGAGCTCAGGCTCTTCCCCAGACTCAGCTGCCTGCTGAACAGCAACCACAGACACAAGCCGCTGAGCCAAAACCGCAGGCGACGCCAGTGTACCAGCAGCGGCCGGTCGCGCCGCTACCAGCGACCCAGCCACAGCCTAACGTCATAGTGCAGGCCCCAATACAACAGCAACCAAAACAACAGCAACCACAGCAGCAGCCACAGCAGCAGCAACAACAGCAGCAGCCACAGTCGGCTCCGCAGAAGAAGGGACTATCTTTGACGGTAAATGGCTGTGTTACAGCATGGTTCGCACAGTCCTTGAAAAGTCCTTGAATTTGAGGGGAGTCCTTGAAAAGTACTTGAATTTAGTAAATGTTGATTTTGTGCTTGAAACACCTTGAATTTCATGAAAATGTCCTGAATCTAGAAAGAATCCTTGCCTTAATAACAAGAAATTTTGTACATCAAGTAATGCAAACCTCAATAAAAATGCGTTAAAATGAGCTAAAAGCTAAAGAACACGATAGACAGTTAAATGATGATCACAAAATAACAGTAAGCAGTAATCAACTTGTTGTAGAAAGTGAATGTGTTTTGAAGGGTTTTATTAATAGTGATCCATTTAATTTTTCGAGGTGAACAGTGATTAAGAATGGGTTATTATTAAATTAACCAGGTAAATTTTGATTCTGATTATGAATCCGCAAAAATGTCGCGATAAAATATCCTTTAATTCTGATAAAATGTCCTTGAAGAAAAGTCCCTTTAAAAGTCCCGCTATGAACAAATTTTCTGTTTTCCTGATATGCGAAACCATGTACAGGATTTTTGCGCAGCAGGTCAAATGCGGCTGTTACGAAACACGCAGCAGTGGAAAAGTTCGAAATGTGACGCGTCGGATCTCCCCCCCAATATGCCGAAGGCCGCTAATCTTCCAATAATCCGTATTCGTAATGGTTACACTGTAATCAATGGAATGAAACATGCCGAGCAGACTTATTAGGCCTTCCTGAGGCCGGATTCATCAACGTTGCATAAAGTGTATTGCGTACACCGATTCTACGAAGTACGTACGCAACAGAAGCCGTAGGTGCGATCATCAAACAGCAAGCGTAGTCACTTCGTATTAGCAAATGATGACTGAATTCAGTGATAAATCCACTACGTCCATCCAGTGGACTACTGGCTTGTTGAAAGGCGGCCTAGCATACAAACCAATCAACAACTGAGTGAGAACATTATAACCAATACGAACCAGAACCTGAGGCCTCTCTTGTCTTTAAACATCATGCTCGTCTAGCTCTCTGTCTTACGAGGAGTGCTGGGGGATGTGATAGTGTCCGCCATTTTGTTTGCATGATTGCGTTCACACTCCATGAAAGCACGACGACGGTACACGTGCCGTGCGTACGTGCATGTGCACGTGTGCCTGCGATGTGTGCAAACGACACGCGTGTGCGTGTCGTGTCACGTACACCTCGGCGTGCGTGTGTACGATACATCGGGCGTGCCGTGACGTCGTTGCACGTCACGTCATGTTACACACGGCGTGCGTGTGCACGTACACGTGGCGTGAGTGCCGTGCTGAGCGTGCATGTGCACGCGTAATGTCGTGCGTGTGTGTCACGTAACACGTGCACGTGCGATGCATGACGTGTGCACGTAACAACGTGCGTGCGTGCATGCGGGCACGACAAGAAGTACGTGCGTGCCTTGCATCGCGTGTGCACTGACTGCGGTGCGTGCAATGCTGTGCACGACACGCGCGTGCGGCGTTGCATGTACACGTGCGTGCGTGGTTGCACCTACACTACGTGCGTGATGCACGTACACGACGTGCGTGCGTGCGATTTAGTACTACACGGGTCGTGCGTGCGTTAGTACGACGTGCGCATGCGTGCATGCGGCACGTGTGCGTGAACGATCGTGTGGTACGTACACGGGCGTGCGTCGTGTGCACGTACAACCGTCTTGGCGTGCTGGTGACACAGTGTAGCTGGCGTGACGTGTGCAGCGTACAGCGTGCGTGGCGTGTCGTTCACAGACACGTGCGAGCGTGCGTGTCACGACACGAGAGATTGCGCGCGTGACGTGTACGACACGTGCGTCGCGCGGTGCACGTAACAAGGCGTGCGTGAGCGTGCATGAGTACACGTGATCCGATGCTGTGCTGTGCATCTACACGTGAGGCTTGTCCACGTACACGGGCGTGCGTGCGTGTGCACGTACACGTGCGTGCGTGCGTGTGTACGTACACGGGCGTGCGTGCGTGTGCACGTACACGTGCGTGCGTGCGTGTGTACGTACACGGGCGTGCGTGCGTGTGCACGTAGGCGTGCGTGCGTGTACACGTACACGTGCGTGCGCGTACACGCGCGTGCGTGTGCACGTACACGTGCGTGCGTGTGCACGTACACGGCTAACTACGAACTCGCTTATAACGAAAACAATGCCAAGCTATGACAAAAGAAGCGTCAAAGGCGCCGTCTGTCTGTGTAGTATGGTAATTATTTATTTATTTTTAGTTGAGTAGTAATTTTATGTTTTCTCAATAAAAAAATGCAGGCTGCGGTATGCTGGAAACACCTGCGGAAATTTCGAGGGGTTTACGGCACCTCGTCAGCTTGTGTAGAGTTACGCAAAGGTTTACGTAAATTTTAGCTTGATGAATCGCACCTAAAACGGCCTCGCTTGCGTACGCGAAATCGTACGCAAATTTACTAAATAGCTGCGTTGATGAATCGCAACTAAGCAACGTCGATTGCGTACACAAGATTTACGCAAAAATGTTTTGCGTACGCAGCTTGATGAATCTACCCCTGGCATTCTTCGCCTTCTTGTTTTGCTGTATAAATGTTTGGGGTTGCATATTTAATAAGGAAGTGGCTCTGTTAGTGGTATCTAGACTCTACAATACACATCTATCTAATGATTGTGCACCTTTGTGTGTTATATACTGCAGAGAGAACAAATGTTGGAGGCACAGGAAATGTTCAGGCGATCAAATAAGGTTACAAGACCAGAGAAGGCTTTGATTCTTGGTTTCATGGCTGGAAGCAGGGGTAAGTGGTCGTTGTGAAAGCTGATAATTAATCACCATGTAGAGAGAATTTCAATCAGACTTTGGACTACTAGTATCGCTGAGTCTGCATTTTGCTTACATTTTTTCTTTTAATTTGTTTCTTGTACCACTACTGTTGTTATGGTTTATATTGTAATATAATCGTAACAGTATTGCTAATGGCAATCAAAATTTTTATAATTTTTATGTAACGTTATACATAATTTTCGTTACACATGAATTCAATAGTTTATATATAATATTGTTATTACTAATTTTTTAGAGAAATACATAATTTAATAATGGTTAGTGAATAGTATTTAGTTTTAGTATTTAGTAGTAATTATCAGTTTAGTAAGTTAAGTAAATAGTTAAGTAAGTTATTCAGTATTTAGTTTAATAATATTAGTGTTAGTATTAGCAAAAGTCGATGACGAACAATGCTGCCCTCTGGTGAGTCGCACCCGCTCCGCTCTGTTCGCAGAGAACCCGTACCCGCAGCAGGGCGACATTCTCACGATCAAGCTGAGCGAGAACACGGAGACGGTGCAGGCGATCGACGGCGCCTACAAGCCGATGATCGTCGAGATGTACTTCCAGATGAACTACGGCACGGGTGAGTGGAAGCGCATTCAGCAGGTGCGCGAGAACAGCGAGTTCGTGCCGTGACGCGGCGGCGGCGCGCGGACGCCGTGCGTGCGGTGTACGCTTTGTGCCGTGAAACGTGCACGCTACGGTGTACATGTTGTGCTGTGGTGTGCGGATGGTACGAGCATGGTGTACATTTTGTGCCGTGGCATGTAGGTGAGGCACGTACGGCATACAACTCGTGCTGCAGAGTGCAGACGATGCACACGCGGCCTGCGTTTTGTACGCGGCATGCGGACGAGGAGCGTCGGTGTACATTTTGTTCCGTGGCGCGCAGACAAGACAGGCGAGTGAGATGGGAACTAGATAGGTGCGATACAGGTGTACATTTTACTCGATTTGAGTACGCACGAGGTGTTTGGTTTTTGTATAGAGATGTGGAGAGCTAATGTCAGAGATATCTGCTGGAGAGATCACTTTGGCCCTTGTTAATAACAGACACTAGGCTAGATTTCTGCTTGTATAGAGAGAGATATCAGAAATGAGAGGCAGATAGTTGCTGTTAGGAACCTCTGACGTCATGGTGATGGTGGTGATCTCTGGTGGAAAGGTCGCGTCACAGGCTGCTAACAGATGTATGTAAGCAAGAGTCCATAATAGAACATTTTAATAGAATCTATTTTCTATTATTAGACTCTTGATGTAAGTTATTGTTGCAGAGCGTCAATTTTCTGGCGTTTTATCCAGGTAGAACATATCTACTATTTCGGATGTTTCCCAATTACTGACGCGGGAAAAACCATGTTGCACTTGTTCGTTCATGCATCCAAGATGTTGCCAGTACTTCCTGATGCGAATATAGTCTCAATCGACTAGGAATGCGTTTCAATCAGTAGATTCGATCAGTTTTTTACATTTAGCGCACGCTTTATCATCATTTTTTGATCGTGCTCCCGCTCTGATTACTTTTGCTGGTCAAGTTGTTATCGTTATTATTGATGTGGTGCTGGTCCAACGTATGTGCAGTTGTGAGCGTGGATATCAAGACCAGCTCAGTGTCAGTGTACGTGCTTGTAGCACTGCTAACCAGTGTGTGTCGTCACCATGCGTCACCTAATCTGTGGCTGTAAATTGAGCAGGTATTCGTCCAGGTAGATAGGCGATAGATAGGTCACTCGCGCGCGCGTGTGTGCGTGTATGTACCTAAGCTGTGGCATGTGTCCAGTGTAGCATGCTATACATCCTCCCTATGGCAAACACCCCCCCCCCACACACACACCACACAAACCCACCACGGTGTGCAGGGTCAGTAAAGGTCATATCCGAGTCACTGTTACGATGCGCCCTGCTAGACATGTCCGTGCTCATGCACAATGTTGAAGGGGGGGACGTTTGCTATTGTGGGGCCGGCTGTATAGTGTATACCATGCTACGCCAGTGGGCAGGCACCTGTCAGCGTGGTTTTTACCTCATGCCGCGACGTTATGCTCGTGATTGTGAAAATAGCGCTAAAACGCGACCAAATCCACTATCAAAATCGTCTGGATTTCTTTAAACTACCTGTATGTACAAAATTTGATTCGGCTCCCTTCCCACAATTAAAAATCGGGGTTTTCTTTGATGTTCAGGTTAGATTAAAAATACAGCGCGATAAAAAAATCCACGTGGCTTTTCAAACGTTGACAGGTGTGCAGCCGTGGTGTGCACTTGCTGGTATTATAACTCGTCATATAACTGGTAATGTTTTGCTAGTTTGTGCTCTCAAATGCTGCTCACTAGTCTAAATGCGCTCACGCATCGCGCTTGTTGGACTCTGTTTCACTTCTGCGAAGGCTTTTTGACATTAGCAGGGGTTAATAATGACAGATTTGTCATTATTAACCCCTGATAGTAGTAAAGTACCTTTAATAGAGCATCACATTAGAATTCTCTGTCATGTGATATCGCGTGACATTTTGATCAGTAGCAATTCTTCATCGTAAGCGGTTTGTACTGTACCCGCTATGAAGTGTTATTTTATGTACCTGGATGCAAATATTATCAGGGATGAATAATGACAAATTTGTCATTATTATCTACTCCTGATATTATCTATATCCTAACTAGAGATTTATATAAAAGAAGGTTCGAAAAGCTTTATGGTGAATGAGCGCTAAACAGTATATATGATAGAAACACAGGTTATATTGTAAATATTATTTTGATCAGGCACTCAAATGTACTGCTACTATACGTTGTAGAGGTTTCATAAGTTTTTACATTTACGTGTAAAATTTGTTGAATATGTAGTGAGTTTCGTGGGTCCTGCATGGAATCCAATCCAAATTTCTTGGAGAATTACAGTCAGATATACGTGGAAGTGTGTTAGGCAAAGAAGTTGTTTTTTAGTAAAAAAAAGAGTGAACAAAAACAAAGGAATGGACAAGGCTTAATTATTGGAAATCCAACATCAGCTAGCCTTGGTCTACCTTGGATTTATTACATTCAATCTCAATTTGCTTTTATTCACTACTTGTATTATAATAAGTTGGTCATGTTGTTAGACATGTCTTCCTAAATCATTATATTGATTGTTGTCATGTTTTGGTGTAAAATCCTAAATCCTACGCTAGAGGTGAATTCGCCCACATCTTACTCATGATTTCATGCAAACAGATGAATTTTAGTTATTTACTGATCAGTAATTATTGGGTCATTCGTACTGCTCTGTGTAAGGTTTATGGTTTTTAGGTTTTCCTAAGAAGTATCCCCCCCCCTCCCCACGATCTATAACTCCCAAACGAAAATTTGGGTGGTTGCCATCTATGTTGGTAATTATGAGGAAATCCAAAACAAGGAAGCATGGGCGTGAATTAATTTTGTGAAGTAGTGATTTCATATAAAGGTGCTAACCTCATGTTAATGCGGTTTTAACCATTCCTTTATTGATTGACGCTAGGTTGGTCATCTAAATCGCACCTTGATATATTGAAAAAGTGAATGTAACACTGTAACAAGGTAATGTTGTGGAGAGTGAATGAATACTACCATGAAAACATGTATAGAATTTCTGTATACACGAATATATAATATGTATAGACGGTATTGAATATTCTGTACATATATTCATGATACTATTTGTACAGAGGAAATTAAGGCTGTCATTGTGCACAGTCTGACGTCGTGCTGTTTTCAACGATGGGCTGTTTTGTCGTCTGCGTTTTGTGCTATGTCGGAGTGACTTATCGTCAGTGTGTGCGCCACTCTCTTCTGGGTCTGCGTGTTGTAAATGAATCTCTGAACGACGTCTATTTTTCTTGTATTAGTACGTGGGTAGAAAATTCTATTACCGCAGACTCGGTGCTATTTCTAGAATCTATTCTCGGTTTCTTTTTCGCACCCAGCTGTGGCTAATCGAGTTTTGCCCCCCCCCCCCCACCCACCCACCATCTCCATTTACCGGAAATTTTGTAATGTGCTAGCAGCCGTCACTTTGAACTGTTGTGCAGCAGCCGATTTTTTAATTCCAGCTTGCACTCCTTTCGACGTCATCTTCACCAAAATCACATTTCGTTTGTTTTACCTCTGTTGATCATAGATCATAGATAGAAGCTAGATCATAGATGTACATTGAATGCACTCCAGGCGATGGGGGTGGATTCTATAGAAAAACTGTTCCCTAACCTATTAGGGTGAGGGTCAATGAAGCCTTATTTCAATCATGTTTAGATGATGTCTCGATATTTTTTCAATATGTCGTGGGTCTGCGCAATAAATGATTTATATGAACCTCTGTTATCTTTACTTGTACAGATTTGCTTCGCAGGGTTGCAAGTATTGACGGTTCGGGTCGGTTTATTATCATAACGTAGGAATAGTCATTCGAATACAGCTCGGTTACATGCCTAGATAAGCTGCCATCACCATCGCGAAGATCGACCGCGTGTACAACAGGAAAAATCCCGGTCGCAGATCCCCGAGTAAATGCTTGTTATATCCACGTTCACCTTATATGGATGGGTTTGGGGAAGGGGGAGGGGGGGGTCTGATGCGTGTCAGACAGATGTTCAACTCTGTCAGTCATATCCTGCAGTGTGTCTTATTGCGAGAAGCAATCACGTACGCTCGTCGGATGCTGGGGGGGGGGAAGCTTATTGATCATTGCGACTACACATTTACGTAAAAAAACGTGGTGCGCGTATGTGTGTGTGTGTGTGTGTGTGGGGGGGGGGGGTTGATTATCGCTAGTTGTCAAATTGAATAGAGTTCATGTGATTTTTCTTCTGGCTAGCTGCTTATTTCGATATTTTCTGTTGTGGTGTTTCGAATGGTGGTTTCCATCCCGATCATTGTACTCCTGTATTCGCCTATCCTTCATATCCCTCTCCTTCAACCCTCTCTCCCCTGATCCACCACCTTCTCTCGTGGTGTCTTTCTCACGCACATCAACTCGACCCTGCTTCCTCGCTCACTTATTCGAATGCTCTCTGCTGCCTTGTTTTGCGTCCTCACTACAACTACCTTCTCTAACCTCACCGGTTCAGTCGTTATCAGCACACCGAACCTATTTCCCTGGTCATAGCAAGCAAATTCTGAAGAAAAAAAACATGAAAACATTCTTATTTTGAAGTTTTTATTTGAAAGTACTTTGAGCTGTGTTCGCTGAAGGGAGTACCAGTATCAGATTGCTATTTTTGATTAAAAAAAACGAACAAAAAGAGCACTCGTCTTTAGTATATTTCCATACACACATTACGTGATCAGACGATTGTAAAACTAATAAATGTATTGTGCTTCATCGACAAAAGTATTTATAGTGTAGTTGTAGTATTAACATCACCTTGTATATATATATTCTGTAACATAAGAATTACAGAGATTTCTGTCATGTACATCAAACGAACCGCAGTAATTCACAGAATGGGCGGTGAATGAATTTGTAGCCGGTTCCAAATTTGTCACAACTTAGGCAGAAAATGCGCTGTAATATTTTTGTGCTTATTTTTGTACTGCATATTGGATTTACCCTGTTGTATAGAAAGTATAGTTGTAAGCATGTACCATATACAGGTATGGTTTGGTTGTACAAAGGTTCACGAATGTTTCTTAAATATAGTGTACTCTATATTAAATGAATTAATGTCAACAGTGCGACTGCACTGGGAAATATATATATATATATATATATATATATATATATATATATATATTTATATATGGCTTGTTTTTGTGCTGTTGTTGAATGATGTAATGATATTGGTAATGTGACCTACACTTGCTATTACATTTGTTTAATCATGCACGTACTCCTGATATCTTATCAAATACCAGTATTTTGATTTACGATTACAGATAGCAATATAGCACTGCAGACAAAGAGTATAAAAGCCTAGCAACAATATATTTAGGGTTCCATTCCTTTTCTCGTTCACCCATTTACCGATTTCTCATGAAAGGTGTCTGCCATTGATCTAGCAAATCAGATATTACGTCTTCATAGCTGGTTTCTATTTTTGTGTGTGGCAAGGCATCTTGAAATTGTTTTATTACCGTAATACTCACGTTGAGCTGCTATTGAAGATAGTAAATACAAGCTGTGGTTGGATCCATTCCCAACGATGGGTACAAGGAATTCCAGCAACGGCAATTTTCTGAAAATTTACCTGAGAAATTTGTCAAACCTGTCAAGTCTTTGGCAAATTGCACTGTCATTATCGTTGAATTCTCTCCTACCCCACTCCTGTCATCAAGTATAGTAGGAAATTTGCAGTGTAGTAAAAAAAGTAATATTCTCATTTTCATCACACAAATTTACAAGGAAAAGAACAGCTGAATGATTCTAAGACAATAATCACAGAGCGTCACAAGGCAATTGAATACATTGTGTATTTGTTGTTTGAAATAATTTATAAAGTTTAATAGAACTATCGGGAATACAACAAGCATACACGCTGATATTCCACACTGCTACCTGTTGGTTTCATGCACTCGTTCACGAACACATTTCTATTAAAATTTCATTAAATGTCTATACATGTAATATATTCTAATACTAGATACTTATAGCCAATAATACTTGTGTCAAAAATATTTCAACCACGTAACGACAATTTGCCATCATTTTATCGCATTGTGGTACTATTTTCAAATAAAATGATACAATAAATAAATAGGATACATGCAAGTTTAACTTGACTAACGTGGTTGCAAATTTCGATTGAAAAATGATTTTCCTGTGTTGCAGCAGCACAACTCGTAACCATACATCTTTCAATTCAAATTGATGTTTCTACATTTTATACCAAATTTAATCATGCGCAGCATTGAGGAAGCCGGTGTTTTTCTTTCGCGTGGATGCCTGCACTTTAACTTGTACAATTTCATTAGAGCAAATACATAAATATTGATACAAGTACTGGTCAGAGTTGTACTGTTACGACATAGAATTAATAAATCATTACACACATTGTGAAGGATAGCATAGCTTTCTCCGTGTGTCATGTCTTCTCCATTACTGCAAAAAATTAATAACACCACCGTCGCAAATAATAACTAGCAATGCTTCCTTTGTACAATGTGCTATAAATTGTAAAATTATACAATCACTCGATAGTAGAGAAGTCTTCAAGAATATATTATTATAATTTATGCCAGTAAAACGTGACACTTTCAGAGGCAAGCCATCTCTAGACTTGCATGAAATTTAATATTTTTGAGGTTTGTTTGTTAGGTGCAGGTTTTTATGGAAAACTGTAGACAACAAACATTACCTATTATTAACAGATACATGGATAGATACATAGATAGATATATACGTATGTATTATAATAATTACTTCTACTAAAGTTAGAAATGCTCCGATTTTAGCACACATATATTATACAGCTTATAATTTATTTTATACACTTTACGGTAACATGAGAAATGTACAAAGCTATAGGTTTGGCAAACTATGGTAAATGATAAAACATGCTATTTACTCTTATAGAGAGAATTGCTGGCGATATAAAGAACATACAGCCATCAGCCTGCATAAAGAAATTGCATGCCGAGATCAATGGAAACTAATAACACGAACCTATGCCTAATATATCCGTTCGTGCGAATATTTATAAATCTGTAGTCACAAACACATTGTCCGATCCTACATACATATGCACGCACGCATATGCGTGCACACGCATACATAAACATATATCACACGCAAACGCGTACACCCACACATACATACACACGTATATATATATACATACACACACGAATTACTTCTGATGCAGCGTTCGCAAAAGACACGTTGAAAATAATTGCACCATGCATCCAGTGCACCGTAACATCTTGCTATAGCGGTCTATGAGAAACTACACGGACATGTACGAGAGAGAGATACGTTCCTCGTTCAGCAACACATACACTCTATACAACATTTCACCCTCCCGAACTAAGTTAAGTGGTATTCACCGGCTACCACTGATTTTCCACGTAAGCATTTGTAACCTACCACATTGGCTGTCCATCTTTCGATTTTACTTTTTTAATCTGCGGGTCACAATTCACACACACACACACACACACACACACACACACACACACACACACACACACACACACACACACACACACGACTTCTTTTGTACTCCAGACAAGTGATTAATGTTGGTTCTGTAGCTTTGCATGTACTGGCAGTGCAAGTGGAAGGATTACACTGTAATGGCTGACAATCCGACCTTACAGAGATTTTACAAATATATTCATTATCAAAAGATGTTACAGCTTTGCATCTCAATAGAAGTACAATTTTCGTAAACATTTTCTCACACATGCAGAGACGGTTCGGTTCGTTTTCTTTTCTTACTTGAAATGTTTATGTGTAAATTTGTAAAAAATACCTTCTGGGGTTTCTGTCTCTACAAATCTCGATAGAAACCAGCGCCAAGCACAACTTCCCTATCGGGGACGAGGAGAAATCCACATAATCCAGCCAGCAGGTTACTGACATGCACCTGCGCACAGACATGCTTCCCAACAGCCGCGTTTACACATAGCAAGAAATCCGGTATTTAGCGTTAACACGACGCAAAATGCGCGGTCCAAGAAATACGGTATCTAAACAGATCCGGTATTTGATGTAAATACGCGGCTTCCCAGACCTCGAATAATTTGCCGTGCTTGAGAAATACCGGATCTCTTGGACCGCGCATTTCCTCGTGTGAACGCTAAATACCGGATTTCTGAAGCCGCGTATTTTATAGACTGGTCCGCGATCGACAGTTCCAGTGTAACGGGAGTGGAACTGTCGAGCGCGGACCAGTCTACGTATTTTATCGGCAGTTGGTGCGCATTGCATTGTTTATTTCGCATTGTTCGCTTGATTGTTTAAAGCAGCTCGCAGCTCGCAAATACCGTATTTCTGGAGCCGCGAATCAGCGTGTGAACGCTCGGCCGCGTATTTGTCTTAGATTCGGTATTTCGCAAATACCGTATTTCATAAATACGAGGTCTCGTGTGAACGAGGCTATAATCTCAGCACCCCAGCCTTTCTGCCGCACGTGCACATCACTCACTCACGTTGGTGACATTGAGTGGTGGCGGGGGTCAAGACAGAATCCACCTTTCTTTTACCAAAAGTATGAGCAATTTTTATGACAACTTCAAACCCTTCTCATACTATCCTGTCGAGCGGCAGATGAGAAATATGATGACGGTAACACTGCGTACGGGTGAAGTTAATGAGTTGGGAGCCATTGCGTGCGCTTTGCGCACCCGATATACGAGGAAACAGAACAGCGGGATGCAAGTGACTAGCATATTCTCATCAACCCCTTTCTTACTAACTTACTTCTCATCTTGCTACGAATCGGTTGCCACGAACGTTACTTGCCAAAGAGGGCGTGGCGTAAACAGACACTCGCACTAGCATATGACGCTCCCGGACAAAAAGCGACGCGGTTACGCTGGGATTATGTGGAAACCTCCTCGACCCAGTTTAGCACGATTGTCTCGGCCAGCCCGAGGTCCTTCTACTATGAGAGAGAATTTGGTAGAGTGGCGCGCTTCGTCTGAACAGTGATGCCTCCATCACTATTGCTGGAATGGATGCTGCTGTCGTCGTCCGCGTCCGACAAGTGATCGCTGTATGAGAGGATGTCCACCTCTGCAAACGACAATCATCCACGTGTGACGTCATCAGGTAAAAGCAACGCGCATTTATCAGCAGTTCTTTTCACCCACTACTTTTACACTACCACGAGTACGTGATATTAATTTATCATGATATCAATTGCCCATGGCATTATTTTAGATATCACGTACTCCTGATACTATATATGTATAAGCTTAAAGCTTTTCATAGATGTTTATTATGCCTTACTCTACTATCAGTAACACTATCAGTAGCACTGACATAAGCACCAGAAGGGAAGACGAGGAGAGGAAAGGCAGAGGAGACATTGTAGCACACCAGTGAGAAGGAGTGCAACAATTTAGAGTTGGAGTCATGGACAGAGGCAACAAAAACAGCTACTAAGCTGTTCGTAGTGACACATCAAAGATGCTAATACACAGCTCTATTCTCCATGGGAAGAGAAGAAACCAACTAACACTATCACTGCAATGAATAGATCGGCGTTTATATTTACTTGCTCTACTGAGTTCATTTCAGCATAACCATCTTCGATGTCAGATCGAAAGACGTAAAAGGGTGAAATATCAAACAAGTAAACACAGCAGCTGGTGCCACTAAGTTTACTTACTCTACTTAGTATTTCGGTTTACCGGTTTTTTGATGAAATGCCACATTCGACAACGGCCGTAAAAGAATGCCAAAATAGATGCAGTAAGTAGCATCACTAAATTCTGTATTTGGTCTCAGACAAACACAAATGAATCGAGTTGACACAGCACTTATCACGACTGCATTTCGTATTTGTTCTCGCATGTAACGAAACAAAATCGAGTAGATGCAACGCACGCGTAAGATTTGGCATTAGACCCTGAACGAAACAAGTGAACACTCGGCGTGCGGTGCAACCGAATCTAGCATCCAATTGCGGATGCAAACAAAAACGAGATGAGCGGACGCAGCAGGCGGCGGCGCCACTGTAGAATTCGCTCACCCATGTCCGGCAGGGAGATGGACGACGGCGACGACGACGACGACGCGCCGGCGGTGCTGGTCGTCGAGGAGCTGCACTCGCTGATGCTGCGCTCACGCATCGCCGCCTCGCTGACGCCCTTCTGCTTCATCAGCTGCTCGAGTCTACGCTTGAGGTGGCGCTGCTCTCGTGACAGCTGCACCTTCGCCTGCTCGCACTTCCAGGACTTGTCCTCCAGGTTCTGCAGGACACCAGAGTTGCGTTTACGCGTGTCGTGTTTCTCGCTGGCGTTCTCTCTCTCTCGCTCTCTCGCACGCTCTCTCCCTTCCTTCCTCCCTCCCTCCCTCTCTTTCCCTCTCGATCAATGCCAGTCACACACATGTGCACACACGCATACACCTATACACAAA